GAAATTAATAGGGAGTCACTCATAGCTGTCAGAAGTGTTGAACTTTGAGACATATTGACCTATATCCTTTCAGAGGCGGAAGAGGTGTTGTGGTTCACTCCTCTATAATTTAACCAAAGGGTGGAGAGTTATTAAACATGTTTAGGTTGGCTAAAAATGTGTTTCCTGAATTGCAGAGAAGATGCAGAAAGCAGCTATTAGCTGATTGTTTATTTTAAGAGCCAAGTAGAAAATTAAGAAAGTTACCTTGTTGAACAAATTGTTTATAAAATGAAAAGTTTAGGGAATGTATTTATATGTGTATATATGTATATATGCTAAGTAAAGGATTTGGCAGTATATGCTATAAGTGACAAGGAAAAGTAATCCTGATCTGTTTTCTTACCTTTTTCAGATATAGCAGAAACCAGGGGTGGACATTGGAACACAGATAGAATATCAGATGGAGACCAGTGTTTAAATGTTGACCTTTGATGAGCTATTGAATGTTTTATTTTATTGTCTATTTAACATGTCTATGTTATGATTTTGTGCATACTATTCTCTTATTTCTAGTGATTGTATTGCAATTGAAACCCTTATGTATTATTGTTGCATGTATGTATGCTTGCCTGGGAAAGGGGGGAATTGACCCATAGGGACCAGGGGGTATTTTTGTGTAAACCAAACTGGGGTGGGAGGGCTCTAACGAGGGAACCCCATTGTCCAGTAGGTGCTTGATTTGTGTCTGTGTAAAGTGCATGAGTGGTTGCAGTTCAAAAAACAAAACAAACAAAAATAAGAGGGATAAGAGAAAGTAGGCATTTTGGGTTATCTATACATGTTTAAATAGAAGGGTGGTAAATAGGAATGTAATTGTTTTGGTTAATGTTTAGATTAAATTGGTTAAATACAGCAATGATAACGAGTGTTTAGATTAAATTGGTAAATGCAGCAGTAATAACGAGTGTTTGGGTTAAATTGGTAGATACAGCAGTGATATTGTGTTTATCTGTGAATCAGGAGTGTGCTGGATGTGAAGAGAGGTGTGTAGGTATTTATCCAAACGCCATAGGGAAAAAATATGGTTAAGACACCACAGTCAAATGGTACTTGTGATGATTGGCACAGTTATTATTTATGTTTGTGTTCGTCATTGCCTGTGTTTTCATTCAAGAACTTTCAAGCAAAGATATTTTAAGCAGAAGAAGAAGAAGCACTGGACACTATGCTCAACTGTTGCTGTAAGGAGAAAAATATTGCAGCTAAGAGTGGTGAGAGTCGGAACAAAATGCATCAGGAGCAGGAAACTGTTACGTCAAGGTGGTTAATGGTATAAAGAAAGAAAAAAACAAAACAATGTGACCACAAACACACAAAAGTCCTTGATCACATGAACTGTTTCATTCATCCCTGTCTCCATGCGTATGTTCTATGAGACTGTCGAAGAATAGAGTATCCAGTTTCCAGGTCTAATGTTTGTGAAAATTCCAGGCACACAGACCAGCCAGAGGCTACAGAAATCGAGTCGGTCTGTGACATGATTCATAGGTGTTATGAGTTTGTGGTGTCTAATACTATATTTAGCTCCAAAACACATCCTCACATGAACACAATATCATTGGTTAATCTAATAAAACATGGTTTGAGTTGTTCATTATTATAAGGGTGGGTATGTGCCTATTTCCCAACTGGTAATGCATGTGCTCAATGGTGAACATTTATATAAGCAATAAAATGTTAATGGGTAATAATTAATGGGTAAATGGGTATCATTCTTCAAAAGGTGGGTTTTGTTGTAGGGCAGGTAGTGTTAAAATGGGGAAGATTCACAATTTACTGGTTTTATAAATGCTTGTTTTATGACATAAGTCAAAGGGTGGTTTGTAATGGTATTTATTAATTAATGACTTTACATCATAAAGAAAGCATATTTAGTGTAATGCTTTGGGGGCACCACTAGGGGTAGTGTGTAGGAAGACATGTGCTTCTGGCAGTGACATCACAGGCCAGCCTACTTACACTGAATAAAACCAGATGGAGGAGAAAACTCTCTCTCTTTGCCTCTTTGCCTGTACCTGAAAGATGTAGTAGCAGCTCTGACTTAACCCCAGCCAAAGGGCTGGGGCCTTGTAAGTAAAATGTTGTGTAACATGTAGCAACCTTTTGTAAGTATTATGTTGTAGTTTTGTATTGTATCATAATTGTAGTAAATTAACATTCTGCTAGCATCTGTTTATTTATTATAGTTATATTAAATATACATTTAATATTACAACGTTTTGTGTATTTTCTATCCACATATTCGACCATAATACCATGAATTATAAAAATATTAATGTTGTTCCGTATTTCTTAATTATTATGTATTAAGAGATTAATATTCATATTTAGGTCACACCACAACACCAAGCATCTTCTTCCATCTCCCTGTTACAGAAATCACTGCCATATCCATACAAATTGTACAGAATGTCCAGGATAGTTTTCCAGGGACAAATGTTGTCGCCTGTTGAACGAGGTGACCTTGCTCGGGTCCCAGGTGTACGGTTCCTAAAATGGCTGCCATATACACGTCCACTGATAGGAGACGCGAAGGTATTAAACTGATCAGAACAATACTAAACACACCACAAATAAGGTTTCTCTCCTGTATGGCTCCTCAAATGATGCTTAAGATTAGAAGCGGCTGAAAAGCATTTCTCACACTCCGAACAAAAATATATTTTTTTAACATTCTCTCCACTTTGAACGAAATGACGTTTGGGAAGAGATTAACATAATTAAACACAGGCAGTAAAATACAGTTTTTAGCCATACACTGTAACTTTAAAACTACACATCCCATCTTCATAATTACATATTTGGAATCAGCACACTTAAAACATAAACATAACCAAAAATCAGCCAAATCCATCCAGGGGTTAAAAAGTTAGTTGGAGGTCCCTTTATGACCGACCGCAAGCACATTTTCCTGCCCAAAACAGTTCCATAGATTTGGGCTGTGAGGTCGGTCTATTTCAGGCTGAAAAAACGACTAAGTCCCATCACGAATGGGACTTAGTCTCTGCAGCTGAAATAAGGCTGAAAAAAAGGCTAAGTCCCATCGCCGAATGGGACTTAGTCTCTGCAGCTGAAATAAGGCTGAAAAAAACGGCTGAAAAAAAGACTAAGTCCCATCACCGAATGGGACTTAGTCTCTGCAGCTGAAATAATTTCCCATTTACTGAACCAAGTGGGAAATAGCAAGGCAGGCACAAAGGGTTTGCACCAGGTCTGGGGACACAGGGGACACCGTCTTAAAGGGGCCGTGTCCCCAACAAGTCTGGGACACGGCCTTAAAGGGGCAGTGTCCCAATCTTCCTGATGTCCCAAAAAAGGTGTTTAAAGGGCCAGCACCAGTCACATAAAGAGTCCATAAGCCCCAATATGCCCACCAACAGTCTTAAAGGGCCATAGACACCAAATAAAATTGCATACATTTTCACAATCTCCCAGGGGCCATAGTCATGTGGGAGGAGGCTGGCAAATAGGCTTCTCCACAACCCAGGGAAGCAGGGTAATTTGCCATTTAAAGGGCCAGTTACAAATAGCAGTTTGTAACAAGGTGTCAATCCATATCTGCCAAGTGACCCGATGTAGGGGATCTCAGTCCTCATTCTGCTCTGTGTCAGTGTGTATCAGGGAACCTTAGGGACAGGTAAAGGCGTCAATCCATATCTGCCAAGTGACCATGTAGGGGAACAGTCCCTATTCTGCTCTGTGTCAGTGTGTATCAGGGATCCTTAGGATAGGTGTCAATCCATATCTGCCAAGTGACCCTATGTAGGGGGACCAGTCCCTATTCTGCTCTGTGTCCGTGTGCATCAGGGGCTCTGAGGACAGGTGTTAATCCATATGTCAAGGTGTCAATATGTCATATGTCAGGTGTCAATCTATATTGATTGTGATTTAGGAATGTTAGGTGATTTCTGCCCTTTATGGATTAAACCAGACTCTGTATCAACTGTGTAATTTTCCATGGGAGTTTTGCCATGGATCCCCCTCCGGCATGCCACAGTCCAGGTGTTAGTCCCCTTGAAACAACTTTTCCATCCCTATTGTGGCCAGAAAGAGTCCCTGTGTGTTTTAAAATTAGCCTCCCCATTGAAGTCAATGGCGTTTCGGGCGGTTCGCCGGTTCGCGAACATTTGCGGAAGTTCGCGTTCGCCGTTCGCGAACCGAAAATTTCGGGTTCGCGACATCACTATTGATAAAGTAACGCAATGTATAATGGATCTAAAACACATGCTAAACACATACTTTAGAAAGTACCACTGCACTGCGAAGTGTAACCCAGCTCCTCTCTAAACGAAACACACATGAAATGTAATCGTAAAG